CAGATGGTGTACAGTCTCTGAGACCTCCTCGGACCTCTGTGATTTCTCAAGGATGGTCCTGAAGTTGGCCCCGAACAGTGCCTCTGGGGTGATGGGGCCCTCCAGCAGATCTTAACTTATGGCTCCAATGAGACCTTTCTATATTGGGACGAATTCACTTAACAAAAATGGAAAGTTTGTCAAGATAAATATATGCAACTTGTAGCACCGCTGTCCCAAATAGTTTAATTAAGACTATCAATCAAAATGAACATGAACTTCATCTGGAGAAACAGACCACACTACCTGAGAAAAGGTCACATGGTCAAAGAATATAAAGATTGTGGTCTGAAAGTAATTATTTTATTTCGTATAGGCTTCGCCATTTAAGGTCTATCGCTAGTGGGTTCATCACTTCGCGCACAGCACAGCACTGAAAACTTTAGTCCACACCCACCTGCTGTGTGGGCCTCACCCCCGGTCCGTATAAATTACGGTGAGACTGGGTAATTGGCTCCCATTTTATCTTCAGCCAGCTAGCTAGCACTGTCAGAAGAACAAAGAAGGAAAAGTTGTCCAGCTTTGACCGGCACAACCTTTGCTAAGGATGCCTGGGTCTACACCACGCCAACCTCCTACCATCCCGGTGAGCTCTTCCTCCCCGAGGAGAAGCAGAGACGATCAGCCTTGTTCAAGGTAAGCGCCAAGGAGTGCTTTTCCATGGCGGGCCGCTACCCGCTGGACTACGCCATCGCCTTTTCCAACGTTTTTTCCTTGTGGTGAATCGGATGATTCCCTTGAAAAAGACAATGTTAGCAGCAGCTCCGCTGAATGTTTTTTCCCGTAGAGGGCCTCTACTTGCTGGACAACGCCACCGCCTTTTCTAACGTGTTTTCCTCGCGGTGAATCGGATGATTCCCTTGAAAAAGGCAATGTTAGCAGCAGCTTCGCTGAATGTTTTTTTCCGTAGAGGGCCTCTACTTGCTGGACAACGCCACCGCCTTTTCTAACGTGTTTTCCTCGCGGTGAATCGGATGATTCCCTCGAAAATGGCGTTGTTGGCAGCAGCTCCGCTGAATGTTTGTCCATGGCGGGCCGCTACTCGCCGGACGACACCATTGCCTTTTCTAACATGTTTTTCTCGTGGTGAATCGGATGATTCCCTCGAAAAAGGCGATGCGGGCAGCAGCTCCGCTGAGTGTTTTTTTCCATGGCGGGATGCTATGCGCGGGACGACGCCACCGCCTTTCTTTGATGCAGAGTCACGCAGTGTATCGAATGACTCTTCTGAGAAAGGCGATGCTAGAAACAATCTCGGGTTAGCAGATACAGATAAAGGACAAGATACAGTTGTGATACATCGAGCAATATTTCCAACTGATAACCAGATGAAACCCCGCTGAATAAACTTTGTGTCATCATTTCAGGACTCTGGATTCTTTTAGAGGTTATTCTTGGCCATTTCTCGACATACCTCGAGAATGTTTATGGATCTCACCGGAGGACATTGACTGATTACAGTGACCTCGAGAGCATCTGTAGGCGTTCTTGACCGGTCTCGTCTCCTTCTTCCTGCTCTGCTCTGCAGAATGTCTATGTAAATATGTGCTTGTTTGTGCAAAGTGTTTTTTCAATATTAGGGGTTTTTCTCAGCCAAGAAAAAAGTCTGATAGGGATTTTTTCGCCTCCAATTTCCTACATGTGTCCAGTTAACCACTGTTTTTTGTCTGTCCAAACAGGTCTCCCTTGTAAATGAGTTTTCGAGGCTCAATGTGATTTATCTGTTTAAATAAAGGTTGAATGAATGAATACAGCACAGCAGATAAGAGCGTCTTTACAGAAGCTTCCTGTCAATTGCCCCGAGACAACTTTGTTGTGAAATGGCACTAAATAAACGGAACTGAATTGAATTAAAAACTGCAGGGTTAAAAACACCACAGCTGGGAACAAAAGAACCATAAGCAACCGATGGCTTTTTCAGTGTAGCTCATGATTCCAACTGCACAGATCTGAAGATTGTGCTTCAATCTCACAAAACTGTAAACACTAAAACAAGAAAAAGAAAAAAATCAGGTCAGATCAGGTCTACACGAACTTTGATGAGCTCTATAATGCTATCCCTTCCCCCTACCTCTAACAATCAGACAGGTGTTTCTGATTTTTTCCAGCTTACAGGTCCCGCCTCTGCAGTCCAAAACCACTGTACAAGCCACTGAGACACTGGACTGAGGAGGCCTCATTATCCCTGCAGTACTGTTTAAGAACACCATGTGGGAACAATGAGCATCCCGACATGCAACCTTACATCTCCTCTGTCATTTATCCACTTCTGCATAATCACAAGCTAAAAAAATAAACTAACAAAAAGCTAGTTCATTTAGCACTGTCTGCCACCTTGCCTCACTGACACTTATCTCCTGGACAAACTTAACACGTTCTTCCATTGCTCTGAAGAGGACTGCAGACACATTGTTGACACCATCAAAGTATGATCAGCCATTCATCCCCCAGTAGCATCAGGGACTGACCATGAAGCATCAGGTGACCATGAAGTGGAGAGACTGCTACTGGAGCATATCAACTTCCACCTGTCTTGACCAACATTAGTTTGCCTATAGACTCAACAGATTCACAGATGAAACCACCATAGCCCTGCACACTGCCCCCAGTCACCTGGTGAACCCAAACATGTATGTCAGGAGGCTGCTTGTTGACTTTATCTCAGCATTTAACTCCATCAGCCCCAGCAGACTGGTTAACAAACTGCAGAGACGGTAGCTCAACACCCCCCCCCCACCCCACCCCTTGTTTGTGGGTCAAAAACTTCCTCACAATTATCTTTCAAATGTCAGAATGAGCTCCACTAAACCTCTGCTGTCATGCTCAATATTGGTGTGACTCAGGGCTGTGTCCGCAGTCCTGTCCTGTTTACACTGTACACTCATGATTGTGTCACCACCCACAGCTCTAATACACTCATCAATTTTGCTGATGATGCAATAAGACTGATCAGCAATGGCAAGGCGACATTATACTGAGAGGCGGTTGAGACATTGTGTCCAGGTGCAGAGACAAGCACCTCAACCTCAACACCAGGAAAACCAAAGAAATGATCTGTGATTTTTGGATGTTGAAGGTCACAGTGGTCGCAGGATTGCAGAACAACAGAGAGGAGGTAGAACAAATTTCAGATTTCAAATTCCTTGGACTTCACCTCTATCCACATAATCAAAAATACCCAGCAGTGTCTCTACTTTCTGCGTGTTGAAGCGAAACAAACCTCCCTCACCTCTGCATTTACTGCTGCATCATAGAGTGTCTAGGCATATGCACGTTGTGGTACACCAGCTGCAGGTCAAGCAGCTGCAGCAAGTCTGGTTGAGATGGATCAGTGGATTATTGACTCCACACTTGGACAAGAGCTACACAAGGCACATCCTCCAGCAGACCGCAAAGGTCTGCAATGACCCCACTCACCAAGGACACTATGTCAGACTGCACCAGTAAACTAAAACACAATTTCTCACCCAGAGCTGTGAGGAGTTTGCTGTAGCAACAACACATCAGTCCCTCGACACCAACAATACAGAAAGTGCTGCAAAGTTTCAGTGACTATGAAGCTTGTTGTTGTTATTTATTGTTTTAGGGACCAAAACTCCGTCAAGCTAATGTTCTTAACAAAACCAAGCAGGTTAAATTTATTTTTACAAGTTATTTTTGTCATTTTATCTTATCACACTATAAAGCAGAGATCTTGTCAGGTTCAATTTTGTCAACTTCTGGCAGACTGTGAAGAAATGATCTCAGCTCTGACCCGACCTTTGACCCATTATTTGGTCAAACAAACCCATCGACCCAATCAGGGTGTGTATTTTGTCTGGTTTTATGGTTAGGTTTGTTTCGTGTTCCTCTGTCAGTGCTCGGTTCTGTTCTGCTCCTGCTCCACCCACTCTCACCTGTTCCCCGTTGTCTTCTTGTCAGGTGTTTGTGATGATGTTCATCACTCTTTATCTTGATGGTGTCTCTGTTTGTCCCTGAGTTGAGCATGAAGCCTGTCTGATGCCATCTTGTTCTCATTGTGTTTTGCTCTTTGTGGTCCTACCAGTTTATTAAACCAGAGTGTGGCTGCCTCAACAGCATTTTTGTTCATAATAGATTGTTCTTCAAAATCTTAGAAGAGTGTGTTTAGATGGATTGAAGTTTTCTTGTAGCTGTTTGCTGCGATTGTTCTGTTTCATTAAAATGTGAAACAATTTTAACTTTGTTTGACAGTAACTGCCTTATCTTTCTCCTCTTTGTTGTTGAGAAGGGCAGAGCCATGCAGTTCATTTATACCTGCTGTCCTTGAAAATAACTTAGCAGACAGCAGAGCAAGGATGCATTTATTCTCCACCAGTTTAAGCCTATAGCACCATAACTAAGGGAAAACTCAGGAAACCAAAGCTAACCCTAACCATTTATCTAAAGGAAAGTCTTAAGCCTGACCTTAACAGAAGGACAGACACTAGAAGTTGGTCCCTGAACAGAAGAGCCTGAAAGCTCTGCCTCATATTCTGCTGTTAGAAACTCTATAGGAACCACTAGTAAACCATGCAGTCTGACAACCAAGTGCTCTTTTATGAAATTATGGAACAATAAAATGTTTAAATTAAGATGGATTGGTTGTTGGGAGCTTAAAGACACTAATTATTTATCAAATTAAACTTAAACGAAGTTATAAATTTTATTTTCTTCTTCTAAAGTTAGAATATGCCTAAAGAAGTTAGTGAAAAACACGAGACTGTTCTGTTTAGCTGAGGGCTTTCCTCACTGACTCCTAAAAATAGATCCATGCAGCACCCCCCGCATCAGATCATTATGGGCTGTATTACATTTCAGGGTTTATTATAAAGAGTGACCAAACCCCGCTCCTGCAGCCTGCGTCCCCACAGCACTGTTCCAGTCCTCATCTTTTATTTTTTCCACATTTTCTCATCTATTTTTATTCTCTCTCTCCCCCCTCAGAGGATCACGTCACTTGCTGAGCTCTCGTTCCCCTCTCTGGTATTTAAGGAGCCCGCGGAGCACAGCGCGCATCTCTGGGAGACCCGCCGGAGGTCCGAGGTGGGCGGTGACTAAAGCCGGAGGTCCGAGGTGGGCGGTGACTAAAGCCGGAGGTCCGCAGCCAGAGGGGGCGGGGAGGGTGGCACCGAGCGTTTCGGACTATCCCGCACATACACGCACGCACACATACATAGGCACAAGAGGAAGGAACCACCACCATCATCATGGCAACGACCACTTGCACGCGTTTTACAGATGAATACCAGCTGTACGAGGAGCTCGGCAAGTAAGTGTCTCTTTAGACTGATGCTGTCCTCTGTCTCCTGCTGTCCTCCCACAGCTCTGAGCATGCGGGATGGAGATGGAGGTCCCCACATTCTGCAGATTCAACTCAAAAAGCTTCTAAAATAAGTCACACCTGACTTTACTCCAATCATATGGCTGCATTTTGCTTAAAGATTTGGGTCCATGTCTGGGCATCCCCCTTCTCCTCCTCCAATGTCTAAAGGCTAATTCACATGACTTCACATGAGGAAAAGCTTTAATAGTGTTGGAGTGAAGCTCTTTATCACAGCTGAGGAGTGATGCTGCTAATCCACTGCAGATCTACTGAGGTGTGATCTGTGATTAAAACAGAGAGAAGAAAGCTGGAGTTTTTTTTAATTTTTTTAGGGGGTGGGGGGTGGGGGGGGACTTAAGGGATGCAGACAATTGAGAGACTGAAGAGGCGCCACAGAGAGGTGAAGTGGACTCAGTGTCTCTGTCAGGTTGTGCGTGGGTAGAGAGGATCTCTCTGCAATGTCTGCCTCACAGGAACATTTGTTCCACAGCCAGCTCGTTCAAAGCTGCAGGGATTTTATTTTAGGTTATGGATCTGAACATGTTCATTTTACAGTTTGTTTTCATTTGTTCAGGCTCAGTGTGATCTGTCTGTCATTATGTGAGAAGTTTGAGACAAAAGAGCTGCTGGAGAAGCTGTCACTGATGACAACACTTCCTGGATGCTGCTTGGCTTCTTCTGCATTTCTGTTCTGGATTCATGTGTCACATGGAACGACAGAAAAAAATGGCAGGAGTGACTCAGGGGGGAAATCTCTGCAGGAGACACACTTAACAAGGATGTAGAGACACAGACACCCGGCTCAAGGCACAGGACAGAAGCACCGCCTCACAGGCTTTATGCAACTAGCTTTATATCCTGGAACACAACTTTTCCTTCTTTCATATGCTTCAGATACCAAAAACAAATAAAAAAACAGAGGCACACGATTACAGTGCCTAATATGTTAAAACTCTTTTTTTTCCTATTTTACTCTGTTCTGTCATGACTGCAAAATAACAAAAAATAAAGCAAGCGTTCAAGAATGCAAAGAAATGCATAATTCAAATGGATAAACTGCATGTTCTGCAGAAATGCTGCATGAATGTCAAGCGACTTAGCAAAAAACTGCTGAGAAATCAAAATCTGATTTGTTGAAGTTAAAACAGAGCAGAGGCTAAAATGTTGTCAGAAATGTCAACTCATGCTGGATTAAAAGCCAGAGAGTACCGATGTGTAGAAAATGTGTAAAAACACCAGGAAATGAAGCCTGTCTGATATGAAGCTGATTCCACAGTTTAGGAGCTACAACTGAAAAGGTTCTGGAAGGAACATAAGGCTGCAGGTCAGACAGGTATGCAGGACTGTCCATTTAGGGCCTTATTAGTCAACAATATAACTTAATAATCAATCCTAAAATGAACAGGGAGCCATTAAAGGGAAGCGAGCACCGGGGAGATATGTTCACAATTTGTGTTAAAAGACGAGCTGCAGTCAGAAGACGACGGCCTGGCTGACATGACATACAGAGTAATAATAATCTAGTTGGGACTGAAAGGCAAGAATCACACGTTCACAGTCATTAAAGGATAAAAAAAAAATTCAGTTTTGATAAAAAGGATGTTCTTTACTACAGAACGAATCTGTTCCTCAAGGTTAAAAATTTAATTAAACATCACCCCACAGTTTTTACATGATATTTTACAAACGAGTCCGCGGAGCCTAAATCTGTTGGAGAACAGTTGCCAAAATGGAGGTTTTAGTGAAAAAGAATGATTGTGCTTCATCTGAAGGTAGATCTAAGCCTTGCCTATGTGGGAACAAAAAGCGATGTTACATTTTCTAAAGATGGAGCTTGAGGGAAAAATGTAGATGAAAAGTAAAATGGATCCAATAATACATCCTTGGGGAACTCCGCATGTGAGAGAGCAGAGAAGGCAATAGATTCTCCGATGCTTATTGAGAAACTCCTGTCAGACAGATAAGACCAGAACCGGTCTGGTGCAGAGCCTTTGAGACCACATTGCTCCAGCTGGGAGAGCAGAGTGGTCAGCTGGCTCAAAGGCAGCGTCTCCTGACTATAACTAATAAAAGATGTTTAAAGTGTGCAGTTTCTGTGCTGTGAAGAACTTTAACCAGAATACAACATTTCAAGGATGTGGTTTGCATTCAAAATGAACTGCAGCTGGATAAAAACTATTCTTTCTAAAAATTTGGATCAAATGGGAAATTTTGAGATTAGTGTCAGACTTTAAGATGAGTCAAGTTTCTTCTGCAACCGCTGGACGGCTGCATGATTCAACCAGGCTGGAACACTTGAACTGAGATTACTGATAAAAATGCTGCTGAAAAACAATAGCTAAAAGCTAACGCAGCCAGGTAGTATCAAAATTATCTAAATATGTGTTTAAATGAGCATAACAGATGTAAAATTAGCTAAACTGTAGCTAATAATAGCAAAATGTGTGTTGGAAATCGACAACTGTTGCTAAAATGGGAGACTGCAACAAAGCCAAGATTCAACATGTCTGCTGCTTCCTTAGAGAACTTTACTAAGTGGTTTTTCTATGTATGTGAATGTTTCTGTAAAGTGCCCTGTGGCAACTTTGTTGTGATCTGGCACTATATAAATAAACTCAATTGAATTGTATTTAAAATTGGCAAAAAAGTAGCTAATTTTTTTAGAACAAGATGCTAAGTTTTTGCTCAACAGTAATTTTAGCATCTAAATTTGCAAAGAGCAGAACAGTTACTAAAAGCAAAAAAATTTTGCAAAACAGTAACTAAAAGTTTCAAAAGCCTGTCTGAAAAACTAAATGTGGCAGAATGGAAGCTAAAAGCTAATGAAGCAAATGTGTAATTAAAAGCTAAAACTGGCAGAATGGTAGCTACGAGCTAAAAGTAGAAAAGACAGAAACAATGTTGAAGAGGGAACATTAGTTTCAAGACTTTCAAGAGCTCGCAACGTAGTTTTATTTTAAATCAAGTTAAATATTGTAAAAAGCATAAAAGTTACAAAAAACAATAGTTTCAGCTCACTTTTCTTGATGGAGATGAAAATTTGATAAATGATTGTTTAAAGTAGCTCAACATATGCAGAATTAGTTTGATTGCAAAAAAAAAAAAAAACAACAATCATACAAATTAAACAATTAATGATAAAAACTGTGTGAATACTGACTCAGCATACACACAATGCTTATAGCACAAATTTAACAGTTTTTGTTTCCATTTCTTTCATTCAGAACATACTGCAAACTTTTGATGTGAGCTGACAGTAAAATGCTTGTAAATTAGACAAATGGTGAATTAAAACTTTACCTTCTTTTTAAAACTTGCCTGTTTTCAGAAAGCACTCGACAACGACTTTCTCACACAGACACTCATTCAGTGTTGGTATGATGCAGATGAGGCGCATGTGAATGCAGATTTTAGCTGAGTCAGAATCCCTGAAGCAACCAAACAGCTCCAAATCATATCACTTCCACCGCCATGCTTCACAGTTAATAGGCTTCATTTTTACTGAAACGTGCAGATTCTGACTTTGGCAATGTTACTTCTAGATGTGAATGTAACAAACGTTTTTTATATATATAAAAAAAAAAAAAAAAATTAAAGGTCTAGCATTCCTTGCAGGAATGCATATCACCCAAACTCTTTTCTGGTCTATCAGATATTTTGCTAACAGAGTTGACTCCATTAGTTAATGGCAAAGTTTAAAATAAAAAGTTTAACAAATTTAAGTCAGGTCCTCTGGATGGATTATTCTAATTCAGTTCAATTCAATTCAATTCAAAAATACTTTATTAATCCCAAAGGGAAATGAATTGTTGTTGTAGCTCATCATCCTGGTTTCATTAGAGTTGTTATAGATGCTGATGGCTGTGGGCAGGAAAGATCTTTTGTAAAGGTCTGTCCCACAGCGGATCCGAAGAAACTGGCTGCAGATGCCGATTCATCCACCCAGACCCAGCAGAGCTCTCGGTCCTCTTGGGCAGCAGGACTGCCTGAATGCCGGGCAGAACTCCTCCCCGAGAGATGGCCATTTCTTCCAGCAGCCCGATGAACCCCTCGTCACCGCGGACTTAACTGCATGTGCCGGTGGACGATCTCAGTCCCCCCACTGTCACGAGCCATGCTTCCCGCTACCTCCAAGATCTCTGCGGTCAGGCACTCAAGCACCACCTTCAAGTAGACGGGAATGCATCCACGGCACCTCCTTTTCAATTCATTTGGGATTTGGTGCTGTAGTTGAGATATTTTTCGAGCTTTAAAGGGTTAAAATAAAGTTCTCGTTAAAATTCATCCAGGGTTTTGATGTGTTTTTGTTGATAAACACACAAACACACATACACTGACTCACCCATCTTTTGTTATAACAGTTAGAAATCACAACAATGGGTAAATTTATTTAATATTTCTTCAGGTTTTCACAGATTTGCTTATTTAATGTTACTTTATTTTTTGTGTACATCTTTTATTGTTTAAGCCCCCATAGAGTTAAATGAGAGATGTGTGACATTCTGACACGAACTAATCCACGTTTTGGAGCCAGATCTGGACCTTCTCCGGTCATTGCACCAGACAAGCTGCCCTGCTGAGGCTCTGCTGCCATTTCCACCACACTGTGAGATGTCAGCAGGTGTCATGCTTACTCACCCCATCACCTCATTATGCATTGGAATTGGAGAGCCTGTGAGAGGATGGGTAACTGAGAGGGTTTTATTGCGTAACAATACTGAGGTGAGATAAAATTAGCTTTGGGCCATGACAGAGGTGGTTATTTCTGTCGCTCTCTGTAGGGTTTGATGTCAAAATGTGCTTCTAAAACCAGCTGAAAGCTCAGTTGGAGCACTTATCCTGAAAATGCAGCTAGTCCTCCTTTTATTCCTTCCTGTTTGATCATCAGCATTACTTGAATTATTCAACACAATGAAGGAAAAAGACTTAAGCAATAATAGAAACATATCAGGTTGCACTGCAGGCCTGCTGTTGTTGGATCAGGGCAATTTCTGGTGAAGACTGAAAATATAGATTTATTTATTTATATAGGTTTATTTATCCAAATATCAGTCGTAAATAGTTTAGGATGATCATAAATAATCAGAAAAACTCCATAATTACAACACATAAATGTCTGCTTATAATATAAATAACCCACTGAATCTTTTGTTTCCCTCGCTGTAAAACTAAAAGGAGGAATTGAATATACTCTCCTTCTGCCCATGAATGTTGTGAGCACGATAGTCTAAAAAATTAGTGTGGTACCAACATCCATTTTGTTGAGTGGCTACATCTAGGCACAAGAAGGGTTTCTTGTTTCTTTAACTTGCAAGCTAAATATTTAGGTCTGAGTTAAATTTTTAGTTAGCAAATGAAATGTTTATTTTGGAAATTAAACGTTTAGCTTGGAAAATAAATATTTATGTCTGAGTTAAATATTTAGTTAGCAAGTTAAATATTTTGTTTAGGAAATAAATGTTTAGTTTAGAAATTAAATGTTTAGTTTTGAAAATAAATATTTAGCTTGGAAATTAAATGCTTAATTTACACCTAAATATTTAGTTTACTGACTAAATATTGTACTTGCAAGTTAAGTATTTATTTTGTAAATTAAATATTTTGCTTGTAAATTAGTTATTTAGTTTGGACCTATGACATTTATAAATGTATGAATAACATGATGAAAATATGACTTTGAAAAAGAAAAACTATTTTTTTCTTATGAAAATCTAAATGAACAAAAATATTGCTGTTAATTTTTGACTGTGTAACTTTACAAACGGCACCCCACAGACATGAGGTGGGGGTTGAAAAGTCAAAATTGAAAATGTTACTTGAAAAAAATTAACATTATAAACAGCAAGATGTGCAGTTAAGGCTTTTATATATTTTTGGTTTGATGATTTTATTTATATTTGTATTATAAATAGATTAGTGTGGCTTTTTATTTTATAGCACTTTCTGAACTCTTCTTAAAAATTGCTGACTTGATTTGATTGAAAGCGGCGAGGAAGAGGAGACTTGGACGACAGCAAGGTCACTCTTATAGCTGAGTTGCCTGTTTTGATGCTGACAGAGCGTTTATGGGCAGTTCAGCATCTTTTCCTCCTTTCTCCTGTCTTTTGTTTCCCAGGGGGGCCTTCTCAGTGGTGCGTCGCTGTATCAAGCTCTGCACAGGCCAAGAATATGCCGCCAAGATCATCAACACCAAGAAGCTCTCGGCCAGAGGTGAGAAAAGGAGCGTCACTAGATGATAGGAGACTCCTGGTAATCCAGCATGTGTGTGTTTTCAGTGAACACAACAAAGAAGCAGCGTGTCATCAGTATGTGTGTCCTGGATCCTGAAGCATACATTAGCATATTTTACTGCTTGTTTGATC